AGAGAGAGAGAGAGAGAGAGAGAGAGAGAGAGAGAGAGAGAGAGAGAGAGAGAGAGAGAGAGAGAGAGGTTCCAAGCATTCCCTCTGCTTCTGGAGGAAGGCAGTAGTCATGTCATGGTGGCGGGAATGATGATGGTGTTGGTGGTGATTATCGTGGTGAGGAGGACGACGATGACTATGGTGGCGCTTGTGATGATCCCCTTCCTCCTTTCTCTTCCTCTCCCTGTTGTACTTTCTCTCCTCCGACTTGTTCGCCACTTCCTCCATCTGCTGCTCTACCTGCTGCTGATTCACCCCTACCCTGTCTACATTCTTTTTCGTCGGCTTTTGCCAGAGCCACCGGCCAGTTCGGGGCAACATTGAAGACGCTGACTGAACAGCCGGTTAAGCTTTTGAAGGGAAGAATAGCAAGAGGAGAGGCAGGGAGTAGCGAGAGGCAGGGATAGGGAAACAGTAGAGGGGAAATGTAGGGCAGTAGTAGTAGACAGCGGCGTCCCGGTCCCCGCTTAGGACCGGGTTGTACACTAGTTACGTGCGAGGGTCAAGAGCAGAACGGAGATGAGAGGGGTAGTGGGAAGGTTCGGGGGTTGTCAGAGGTAGGGGGCGGGGGAGTGGTGCAGCAGAGTCGGGGAGAAAACGGGGTAACAGGGAAGACACGGGGGAGGGATAGCAGGGTACGCTAGTAGTAGGCAGCTTGACGTGGAGTAGTTAGGAAAGAGGCCGAAATCGCCGCGGGCCAGCAGGGCCGGAACTGAGTGGCTGGGGGTGATCCAGATTCGCTGGTACCTAGAGAATAGAGCCGACCAGGTGCGGGAAAAAGCAAGGCCAGTAGCCCTTTTACGCAGCGTAGGCTCCTACTGCCGACCGGTGCACGTGATGTTCGAACTACCTGGTGCTGAGAGAGGCGCACACGTGAGGTTGGCGGGAAGAAGGGGCTTGCGTCTGAGCTTGCCAAGTCAGTTACGGGCGCCGAGTCGGCACCCGCCCAGTCAGTTGCAGAGTGACGTTCTGCGGTGCGGACGTGAAGAGAGTGTGTCAGGTATATGTACTGAGGGCAAGGCCAGAAAGGCCCTCTTTGCTCTGGCGGTATGCTACGGTGGATGCGGGAGTGTGGGAAGCCCCTTGATAAGTCCTGGTGCGCAGCCAGGCGAAACGCGTCGGGGAATGTGCGCGTTGAGCTTTTGAAGTCCGTGAAGGTGCTCCCTTGCATATCTTCGTGACATGGACGCATAGCGATTGGCCTCGCTATTTCAATTCTTGAATGCTTAATAACCGTGCGAGTGGTCGTACTCGTCTTGGTAGTTGCGCCGACATCGGATGCACAGGTGAGCAAAGTGGTAGGATCAATGAGCGAGGAGAGAGGGCAAGTAAGAGAGAGAGAGGGGGGGTGACGTCAACGAGAGAGGGAGTAGAGCGAAGGGAAGGCAGAGAAGGCGAGGGAGAAGAGACAGGCGGGGAGTGAGAGTAGACGTAGAGAAGGGTAGGGGGAGAGGAAGAGGAAGAGGGAGAGTAGACTAACTGCCCTTTGAATTGAGTACGGGATGTTAGAGTGCTCTCGAGCGCAGGAAGAGGTGACGTGAATGTACAAGATCTCGGCTACGTACGCTTACCGGAGGAGCTCGCCAGCAGAACGGCTAGGACCCACAGTATAATACAACAGGAGCGCGTCCGGGTAAGAAGCAAGCGACGGGAGGCGAAGGCAGAGGTAAGAGCGGGAATGAGGCAACTGGAGATCGTGGGTTGTTACGTGTGATACTTCGGTGTTCGTAGTTGAAGAAGAAGCTACCTAGTCGGGAGGGGAGTGCAGCGTGAAGTTGGTACTTGGACGGGGCAGGCGCGAGGGAGGTGCCGGGTGGCTTATCCAGGCTGGAAGTTGGAGGCGGGAGGGAGAACGGGTCGTCGAGAGAGCGTGTTTCAGAAGCGGGGGAGGAGTGAAAATCGGTACGTAAGGAGAGCAGCCCTGCGAGGCAGCTGGGAATCGAGGGGTAGTAAATGGGGTACCGCCGTGTTAGTAGTTGAAGAGGAAGCTTTCTAGTCAGGTGGGGGCGCAGAGTGAGGTTAGTTACGTAGACGGGGCGGACGTGGGGAGGTGCCAGGCGGCGTATCCAGGCTGAAAATTGGAGGTGGGAGGGAGAACGGGTTGTCGAGAGAACTAGTGGCGGGGRGGGGGRRGGGGGTGTTATCGGTTCGTGAGGACGGTGGCCCTGCGAGAGCTCTCGATGGTCGGAGGTGAGAGTGTGTGCAAGCTCACGAAGTAAGGAAAAAAAAGGGGGGAGTGCGCGACTCGTCTTCCCTCGTAGCAGCGTAGGACTGGCGATGGGTGGAGTTGGGAGTAAGCGAGCTCATGAAGAGTAAGTGTGCGGCAGTTGAGGCGAGAAGCCCAATCGGGTTGAGCTCACGGGAACAGCAAACGTACGATCCAGCGTGAGGCTTGGGGGTGAAGTGGCGGCCGAGTTTAGAGGTGAGTGGCCCAACAAAGACCCAATCGAGCTGAGCTCCCAGGAACGCATGACGCGCGGGCCAGCTTCGGACGTGGGTGTTTAGTGGCGGGCGAGAATTGAGGGAAGTGGCCCAACGACCAATCTGGATCCGTGCACCTGGAAGCGCGGGAACGGCGACGTGCGGGAGTTAAGAGTGCCTTGCGAGCGGCGAGAGAACCTGATCTGAGTCAGGAAGTGGGAGGGTGATTGGTAGCTCGGACGAGCAGTCCCGTTTGAAGCTCCCGGGAACACGTGTGCAGTAGAGCACGGTGAAGGGACGGGACAAAAACAGGCGGGAAAGGAAGAACGAAGGAGGCGAGGAAGGCAAGGGCGTAGGATGTGCAGTTTGCGTCGGCCAGGCGAAGCCGGCGGAAGGGAGCAGTTGAGAAGTGAACCAGGCCCGGGGTTAGTTGTAGGAAGAAAGCAGCCGGTTGAGAGGAGAAGCAACGTGAAGAGCTGGGAAGAAGAGGGGAGAAGAGTAGCTCGAGCCGAGGGGTGCACATAACAGGCGAACGAGTAGGGACAAGGGATCATCGGGGCGAAAGCGACAGTTAAGCTGTTGAGGATTGCGTGACAAGGGATCGCCAGGGCGAAGCAAAAGTTAAAAGTTGTTGACGATCGCTTGACGTAAAGGTAAGAGCAGGGTGAGCTGGCCACTGTAGTAAGGCAGATTGGAGTACAGGTGCGGCAGCGAGTAGACAGGCGAACGAGTAGGGTCAAGGGAACACCGGGGCGAAGTGACAGTTAAGCGGTTGACGATCGCGTGACAAGAGATCACCGGGGCGAAGCAACAGTTAAGTTGTTGACGTTCGCGTGACGTAAAGGTAAGAGCAGGGTGTGTTGGCCAATGTATTAAGGCGGATTGGTGTATAGGTGCGACAGTGAGTAGTTTGAGAGGGGATGAGGGGTGCAAACGGAAGTGATAGTGGTGCATGAGTAGGCATTGACAGCCGAAGACAGGAGTGGAGGTCGGTGGTTGTGAGTAAATAGTCAAGTCGAGAGTTCCTTTGGGAGGATCGGACACGTGGCGGCCGCTGATTGAGTAGCGCGAGAGGAAGTTGGGTGCAAGCTAGTGGTGGGTAGAGAGCCCGAGCAAGGAGCGGGGACTGTTTCAAGCAGGGGGAGCTGGAGTAGGCAGCGGTTACTGTGTGCGGTGCGAGCCGAGCTGGTGAGTGCAAGCAGGGTGAGTGGGTAGTGGCAGTGGAGCGTGGGAGGTGGAATCATCTAAGAGAGGGAGGCAGTCGGCAGAGGGAGAAGTGACCACGGTGTGGCAGGGTGATCCGGAAGGGTGACAGCGGCTTCGACCAGCGTCCATGTATCCTCAGCAGGCAACACCAGGGTCGTACCTGGCTAATTACGTCGGGCCTGCACAGACACCTGGCCCTGCTCCTACTCCCCCTCCTCCCCCTCCCCCTCCCCAGCCAGCGGCACCGGGAGGGGCCTGTTACTATTGCGGGGAGTTCAGGCACTACGCGAGAGACTGCCCGCATAGGCAGATTGGGAGAGGCTGGCAAGGCCAAGGTCGGGGGAGCTACGGATCAGGAAGCTATGGACAAGCTGCTTACAACCAGCCTAGAAGGAATGATGATGAAGATTGGATGAACAGGCTGCTATCGTTCGTTGAAAGCCAGCAACTAGAGGCAGCGGAGAAGAAGAGGGTTGAACACGAGAAAAAGAGGCAGGAAGAAGAGAAGCAGAGGGTAGAAGAAGCTAAGCAGAGAGAGGAAGCAGAAAAACAGCGGGTGCAGGCAATTATGGAAGCAACAGCGGCGCAAGGGTTCACTAAGGAAATGGCAGCCCTAGAAGAGAAGATCAAGGAACACGTGAACACGAAGATTACAGTGTCGGAGGAGAAGAATGCAAGGTTGCAAGACAGCTTATTGCGGTTCCTGGAGCGAACGGATGGAGATGGGCAAAGGAGGACCAGGACTGAACCATGCCCAAATCCGAAAAGAAGGTTAGATTTAGATGGTTTTGAGCGGGAGGCTGATGCTGTAGAAAGAAGTGCAGCTACACCAGTACCAAGAAGAGAACGGCGTTCACGAGGAAAGGGAAAGAGTCGGCTGCCGTAGAGCCGAAGATAGGAGCGGTGGCCTCGTGCTCCAAGCAAGGGGGGATTGATTTCGTCCTCGAGCTGCGTGAGAGTATGCAGGCTAAGCAGGCGCCATAACTCAAACGACTGTGTAAAATGAAGAACATTAGGTGGGTATCGAAGGCGCAAGCGGTTAAGGACTTGGCGGCAGCAGAGACGAGAGTGGCGTATGAAGGATGGCTCACCGGGGCTGAAAGTGATGAGAGCAAGAAGGACGACGGGAGGTCAGAGGTGGATACAGCTCCGCACGCGATCTGACGGTATATCCCCCCAGCACGGTACCTCTGGGGGAAGCTCCTGTTGTATATGGGACTCCGAGAGAGCGTCTGGGGGACATACAGATTAACAAACTTGAGGATTAACGTCGAGCAAGTGATCATCGCAGTCTTCCTCCTGCTGGTGATGAGCGGAGTGGCACCATGGGCCAAGAAATTGCTCACGGTGACACCGTCAGGTCATGATTTTTTTGACCTTAGGGGGCCAGCAGTGTATTGCCTAGTTTCACCCTGGTGCAAGAGAATGTACATTGGGCAGTCAATTCGGGGTGCGGGGGAAAGATGGTGGGAGCACATCAGATGTACGGAGTCCGGTAATAATGGTCATGCCCCCAAGCTGTATTCGTTTCTGAAGGTTTATGGGTGGGAAAATTATTTGGTCCTATCAATAGCAGCGGGGGGCCGAGACGGTCTGCAAGTGCTGGAGAAGATTCTGATCTGTAGGTTCTCCCTAACGCTTAATGTGGTAGGAGGTAGTGCAGGGACGAAAAGGAAAGCTAGGCCTGGTAAGAGGGAGAGACATAAAATGGGAGCGCCGTTGGCAACACACAGGAAAGGGCTCCTGACCTTCTGGCAGGCAGGACAGAGTAGGAAGTATTTTAGCCTAACTCAGCTCTTAGAGGACACATGGGCAGCAGGGGTGAAGGCGGTGAGGCTCGTGTCATCTGGAGGAGAAGTGTGGGGAGAGAGATGGTCGGTTATAAAGAGGAAATTCGGGACGTCAACCGTGGTGATGGATGAAGAGAAGTTCCCCTTGGGGAGGGCCAAGCGGGTCCTAGGAAAAGGCGGTATGTTCAGAGTGGTGCCAGTGGTGAAAACTGAGAGTGCAAGGTGCAGAGGGAAAGGTTATTTGAGGCTGCTGCTGGAAATGCCGAGGAAGTAGGCGGAGCTCAAGCCATTCGACATCACGAAGTTAGTCTTCTTGTACCGGTGTGCCAGGGAGTTCAAGACCAAGACTACAAGAAGGGCCCTGAAGGAGAAGTTAGCCGCGGTGATCAAGAAGAAGACGGGAGTCAATATAAGATTGAAGGTTAGTGTGGGAGTGACGTATAGCCACAAGCTGAAAAAGAGGACGATCCACGACATGGTAGTCTTATGTGTGGAGAAGAGCAAAATTCACCCTGTTTTGAAATCAGTGCTGCGACGCAGGGTGAGAGTGGTGTGGAGAAAGAACAAGACGGTGGAGCAGACCTTGACTAACCACCGGAAGACAGCGAGGGAGGAGACGGGGATGTGTACCTGCAGCGAGGACCGACTACCAAGTATGGAAGGGCATGCGCTGACGCGGATTGTGCAGTGCCCAGAGGCTCCGACGTTTCTGCACAATGGGAAGAACATACTGCAAAGCGATGCAGGTGTAAAATCGTTGGAAGTGCAGCGGGCTGTAGGACGGTCGTTGGGAATGGTTATGAGAAGGGAGCTGTACCAGGTGGCTGGTGCAGACTGTTTCCGGGAAATAATTTCCGACCGTATAGAAACGAGGCCAGCGTGCTCGGAGGAAAGAGCACGGGAGCTGGCGGTGAAGTGGAACCACCTGGTGGTGGTCCCGGTGGATAGAAACCCTAGGGACCTAGTGATCATGTGTCCGGCGACTTACCACCACGGCCTTCAGATGATGTTCAACCTCAATGTCGCCTACCGCCAAGTTTTGGGACAGTCCGAGAAAAAGGTGCTTTCGGTACTAAGAGCAGAGTTCAAGAAGGTTGATCTCGACAAGTTAGGAGCGTGGAACCCAGCGGCTAAGCTTGGCCAAGCATATGTCTTGCCGAAACATAAGGACCTGACGAGGTGGAAGCCTATTGCACCGGCAAATACGGAAGGCTCCAAGACTGCAGGGAGGAGGCTAGCGCGGGCGCTTAACTTCTTGCTCGAGAAAGTCCCAGGAGCCAAGCACTTTAACCTGAAGGCCACGGCGTTGCTGAAGCAGAACTTGGAGGTAGCTGGGAGAAGACTTAGTGTCTACGGGGAGAAGTCGATGGCGCTGATAGCTAGCTTCGACATCCAGGAGATGTTCACGTCGCTACCTCATCAAGAGATTGCCCAAGTTGTTGATTGGCTGCTGCAGCAGTGGGAGATGAGGGGAGTGTGCAGGCTGAGCCTGAGTAAAAGAGGCCGTGAGGTAGCCCTTAGCCGGAAGAGCCCGGGGCCAGGTTACGTAATGGTCAAGTTCTCCCAAATCCGGCAGATGGTCAGCTATGAATTGGAGAATACATACATTCTGTGCAGAAAAATGATTCTCAAGCAGGTGGTGGGAATACCCATGGGGAAGAATTCCAGCCCATCACTAGCGTGTGTGCTGTGTGCGAAGCAAGAGGTCGATTTCTTAAGCTCGCTGGGAGCGGATCAGAGGATAGTACATGGAGTCAGGCTCGTAGACGATGTCACAGTGGCAATTGCCTGTGATATGGATGACTGTCGGAGTATAGCAGCAGCGAAAAGCATTTGCCATAATTTTGGAAGAGCTTATGGGGAACAACTTGAGCTGGTGAGGACAAATGATGGCACCAACTCTTGGGACTTTTTGGGGACCAGGGTTGCGGCACTACCAGGTCCGATCACGTTTGCAATCCGACCTAAACAAAAGAATGAGGGAGCGTCGGTAGATGATCCCCTCGCCTTCAGATGTTTCCAAGACTTTGACTCGTACTCGGAGAAGCGAGCGAAGGCAGGCACGGTAATTGCAGTGCTCCACAAAATCAAGCAGCATGCGAGCGACCCATCAACGGGGGTCCATACGACACTATCTGTCAGCATAGAGCTCGGGCGCCGGGGATACCCCCCGGCGCTCTTCTCCAATGCTCTGGCGGCTTTTGCCAGAGCCACCGGCCAGTTCGGGGCAGCGTTGAAGACGCTGACTGAACAGCCGGTTAAGCTTTTGAAGGGAAGAATCGCAAGAGGAGAGGCAGGGAGTAGCGAGAGGCAGGGATAGGGAAACCTTAGAGGGGAAATGTAGGGCAGTAGTAGTAGACAGCGGCGTCCCGGTCCCGACTTAGGACCGGGTTGTACACTAGTTACGTGCGAGGGTCAAGAGCAGAACGGAGATGAGAGGGGTAGTCCCCGGTCCCGAGCGCTGGGAACCGGGCTGTATGCTAAGTTTGCATGGGAAGGTTCGGGGGCTGTCAGAGGTAGGGGGCGGGGGAGTGGTGCAGCAGAGTCGGGGAGAAAACGGGGTAACAAGGAAGACACGGGGGAGGGATAGTAGGGTAGGCTAGTAGTAGGCAGCTTGACGTGGAGTAGTTAGGAAAGAGGTCGAAATCGTCACGGGCCAGCAGGGCCAGAACTGAGTGGCTGGGGGTGATCCAGATTCGTTGGTACCTAGAGAATAAAGCTGACTAGGTGCGGGAAAAGCAAGGCCAGTAGCCCTTTTACGCAGCGTAGGCTCCTACTGCCAACCGGTGCACATGATGTTCGAACTACCTGGCGCTGAGAAAGGCGCACACGTGAGGTTGGTGGGAAGAAGGGGCTTGCGTCTGAGGTTGACAAGTCAGTTACGGGCGAGCCGAGTCGGCACCCACCCAGTCAGTTGCAGAGTGACGTTCTACGGTGTGGACGTGAAGAGAGTGTGTCAGGTATATGTACTGAGGGCAAGGTTAGAAAGACCCTCTTTGCTCTGGACGGTATGCTACGGTGGATGCGGGAGTGTGGGAAGCCCCTTGATAAGTCCTGGTGCGCAGCCAGGTGAAACGCGTCGGGGAATGTGCGCGTTGAGCTGTTGAAGTCCGTGAAGGTGCTCCCTTGCCTATCTTCGTGACATGGACGCATAGCGATTGGCCTCGCTATTTCAATTCAATTCAATTCTTCTTTAACTAAAAAGAAGTAAAGTGGCGGGTGTTCACGCCGCTGGCTGTCTTGTGATTCTTTTTGGTTTTGCCAATGTGAATTATGTGTCTTGATCAGATGATTTGTCAGATTATATTATTGGAACGTCAGTTCGATGCTTGATGAATGTGTTGGGCGGTTGGGTGAAGGCGGGATGACCAATCGTCGGGTAGACTTCACATTGTGTTGGAACTCACGATATGAGGATCAGTAGCCTGTTGGTTGGTAGTTAGAAATGATTGGTTGTTTTTTTATTAGGTGGGGCTGGTCGCTGGTTGAGCTGGAGGCAGGCAGTCGTTCGCACGGGTAAACTTTTTCGGAACTGGGAGAGCGGTATTTTGTGGGGAAAAGTTTTTCGGATTTGATTTGTGTGTTTTGAGTGAAAGGAAAGATAGGCGGGAAGGGAGGTAGACGGTTGTGTATTTGAGGAGGAAGAGAAGGGAGAGGACGAGGAGGAGGAAGAGGAGGGGCGAATGAGATGATGGGAACACATACCCAAAGTCTATCGAAATTTCCTTGATAATGCTCATTACTCGTGTGCCCAATAGAGTTCTTTTCATATACTAATTGATTGACCGACCCACAACGGGGTTCCCGTTAAGTCTTAACATCCACAATTAAAGAGTTGACCCGAGTCATCGCCGTGAGCAGTGTATCGAATCAAGCCGGTCCACACACACACACACACACACACAGAGAGAGAGAGAGAGAGAGAGAGAGAGAGAGAGAGAGAGAGAGAGAGAGAGAGAGAGAGAGAGAGAGAGA